GAGATGACCTTGAACCAACAATTTGTTGCATCGGTTCCAAGGGTGGAAACCAAACAAAGTTTGATACTCCACCGCATGGCAGCTTAGCCCTCAGTTCAGAACCTAAAAGGTTCAGTGGCGCCATCCGACGTCAGTGATTTTAGCGCAAATCAAAAGCGTGCGTTCAGCCACCGAAGCGGGGTCTTGGCACCAGGTTTGGGCCGCTTCAATCATCGCAGGCACCACTTGGATCCTCTTTTCTTTCACACTCACACATTCACTCTAGCACCTCAAAAATTAGACATGTTCAAGAACACCTGAGGCTTGAATGAATTCAGATATTACTGTATATCAGGTTGATTGAAAGGGCGGCCCAGCCCCGGAAGCTCGACCGAGAAAGGACGGCCACCTCTAGGCCACCTCCGGCCTTCTGGCAACGTCGGCTCGACGGGGCGGACCGTGTTGAACTTGGTCCGCCCCAGGCAGGCGCGGCTTCCGCGCGGAACGACGTGGGCCCAGTGGACGACGTGGCGGTGGCAACCTTGTTCGCGGGTCAAGTGGATGTTCCACCCTGCCCGGAGGAGAGGTTGTCCCAAAGAGCTGACTGAAGCCCTTATATAGGGTGTGTGTGTCCCACCCTGTTTCTAAGGGTTTTGATATAAGCAGGGGGACTGGTTGTCCATTGCAAGTACCAGCCCAACGAAGAGGCTTGCATTGAACACTGATATCGGTGGGGACGCCCACCGACGTACCTGCTGTTCCCTATAATGGGTAACAGAAGGAAGAGGTTCGTCGGCGGACTTGTGCGTCGGTTCCCTTCCTTCTTTTACCCTCTTCGGCGATTCGTCCGTCTCGCCCCCCTAGCTACAAAAACAGGAGGCTTCTTTTTCTTTTCTAGCTACAAAACAAGAGGCCTTATTTCCTTTCTATCTACTTGAAGCGATTCACTTGTCTCGCTTCCCTATGGAACCTAACCCCCTATGCATGCCGCTAATTCAGGACTGCAAAGTATTCAGTATAACTAGTTTGCGCAGTCTTTTCAAACACTTGTTCAAACAAGTTCAAGTCGACCGACTCAGCATTCCTGCGGTTCTTTCATTCCTTTGACGTTGGATTCTCTTTTGAATAAACCTATCGAAGTGCGTTTTTGTGCCGGGGCCGCTTTGAATAAAAACATGTACAAAAACAATGGGGTAGACTTGTCTAGAGCTTGAAACAATCCCGCAAGCTCCTACACAAACTGGGAATGTTCACCTCTTCATGTTGTAAATAGACTCACAGCAAGCATTCGCTACTGCACCCGGGCCCCACACTCAAAGTTCCTGACCAGCCCTGTGATCCCCTGTGCAAATGTTGCCATGCGAAGTGAGACCAAATTTCGCACGAGAAACTGTACCAGCACGGGCAATCTGCTCGGATTGGCCTTTCTCCAAGCTTGGCCTGCTAGGCAAGACCTGAGCCCAGCTGGTGTTTTCATACCCAAAAAACATCTCCCAAGGTCTGCGAGTTACGCTGCTCGCGTGAAACGCTCGCGCGAAACGCTCGAGCTTGGTTGCTCAGGAGCCCCAGGAGGCTCAATTCGGCGGCCAAAATTGTCTCAGAGGTTTCAGTTCCGCGCTCGCACAACCCAGTGCTCTGCATACAGCCATGGAGAGATATGAAGCGGAAGAATGTCTCAAAAGTATAATAGCGATGGCCTCCATCCTAATAGCGGTGGCCTTCAACCTAACAGCAATGGCCTCCATCCCATGATGTTATTGTTTCCCTCCCTCCAACAATCATGGAAGTTGACATGACGACTGGAAAGACAGTGATATGCTCCGAATGTTGGTCACTGACTCTGGGATGCAAAAGAATAACCACCATGCACCGATGTAAACGTCACTGAGTCTGAAATGGTCAACCTCCAACACGAGCTGCAAATGCTTTGCCTTGCCATGCCCAGGGCAGGTTTCTCTTCGACACGAGCTGATCGCGGGTCTAGACATCAATTCCGCGCCTGTTGATACCCACTGCGCTGGGATTGGCCCTGCAGAATCACCGGAACCGAGGTGCTCCGGCCGGGCAGTGCCTGGCGAGTCGGGTCGTATATACGGCTCTCCTTGTGAATCCCGAAAAGCGGTGGAGCAGAAAGGAAGTCCATAACTTCGGGTCGCACTTGTGGGGGTTCATTGATATTTCTCTACCTTACCTTACCCTGTCATGGTCGTAAACCTGCTCGCTCAACAAAAGCTCATGCTCTTCCCCTGCTTTCTCTCCAAGTCCTTCCCGGTTTTGCCCTCAGTCTTTCAGCTTCTTCATGTTTCGTAAACCTGCCGTCCTTCTCAAAGAGGTCACACATTCTCTTCGTAAACCTGGCTTCCACTACTTGGCTGACCGCTCCTTTTCATCGACCCGAAGAACGCACCGTGAAAGACCATTCGAAGTGACCCACCAAAACCAGCCCGTTCAGCCCGTGGCCGTGGACGTTCTCAAGTCGCGGAAGATATGCAAAAATGCGCGGGGACAGCTTCTGGACTGGAGGGAACTCCGAACGAAAGAGTTGGAGGGAACTCCTTTGCCGCATCAATAGTTGGCCCGCTATGCACCAATCCTACGTACGAACTGTTTTCGGACATGCCTCAAGCACCGTATCGCAAAGTGTAAAGTCCTATAATTAGTGGGATACCTTCCATGATATGTACAGTTGTTTCAGAGACCAAAAGAGACCAAACACCCGGAACCGTGACTGGTACCGACGGGCTGCGGTGAGGACCTCCACACAGCCAAAGCAGCAGGGTGCTGGCTCGCCGAGCTTGAGGAAATAATCCAGCTTCAGCCGCTCTGCGCCGCGTGGGCACGCCTGCACGGGGGGATTGATCGTGGTGCTTTCTTGGTGTGTTTGGTGAGGAGAAAAAGGGTGTGGGTGCAGTTGCGCCGGGAAAATGGACATGTATTCCCAAGTACCTACAAAGACACGCTACCTCTTTTTAAACTCATGTCGGAGACCCCTCAATACCGTTTAAAATGTGTTCTAAATTGCCGCCTTCTTAAACCAGTCAACGACATTCAACCACTACAAACATAACATAATACGCATTTTTTTGGGGCCCTGGCTGTCCAGCCTGGCTATCTCTCGTTTCAGCTGCCCAATTCAACACACCACTTGATAGACTCAGAATGCCAAAACCTTTGCCCTAGCTGAGTCCTCATGGCCGAAAGCACTCCTAACATGTCTATTTTGGAGGGCCCATTTTGGAGACCCCCTATGGAACAAAGAACACACGCACCCATATTCCTTTTTGTTCAGGGGGGACCCGTCTTTTGTAATAGGGAGGAGAAATTCGAGAAACCAATTAACTCCTGCGAGAGTTCCTTTGCAAAACACGCCCAGCCTCAGCCCAACGTGCCAGTAGCGACTGCAGGACCTCTTCCCCAAACCTCTCCTGAGCATCGGCGACTGCAGCGGCTGAACGTCCAAAATGCCGGTGATGAACCCGCTGATCGTTCTGTGTCAGGGTTTTGGAGTGTTTACCAGCAAGGTTCCCGAAAAGAGGTTCGTATGTCTTTGTGTATACCACGGGTTGTATTCTAGTGGTGTATATTTACATGTCGTCGTAGATTGAACCTTGGCATGTCGACCTCGCGTGTGTGAGAAAAAACGAACATCACACTCACCATTGTGTTTCAAAGTAATATAACAACAACGATAGCTGACCCCAACCTGTTCCCCCGACGGAAGATTATAGAAGGACTCACCTGTTGGATCCACCTGTTGAACTGGACAGCGGAGAAAGCACGGAACCCCCCAAAGCGCGTTCCAACGCCTTCTTTTGCGGCGTACTATCCACGTACCTAGAGTCGCTGGGAAGAGACACATGTCCTTTGTGGAACATGCCATGACCGGCCAACAAAAACATAGCTTAAACCGATGGCAAAAACCGCCCAAATCCCAGCAAACCGCGGCCGAGAATCCCTCACCAGATCCACATGCCGTGCCATCTGCCATCAAGGAGGAACAAGCAGCGCCATGCGGTGCTGAGGTGCTCTGCAGTGCTCTGAGTGTGCACAGGACGGAAACAGTTCTGCTACTAGTTCTGCTAGATGTGATCGCTGGAGTTTGAAGGATCGTCAAACATTCGTGCAAGTGTATTCACAAAGAGAAACATGTATATATAATTATTACTATTATTACAACATGTCTATGTTCCGATGAACATGTGCAACCTCGATCAGGCCAAAGTCAGGTCTGTTGGGAACATTCTTTCTTCACCTCTCATCCTCTCTTCGTGGAAACGAACGTGGATCCTCTCTGCAAACGAACATGGACCGTGAAAATGGATCGGAAGACTGTAGCTTCCTCTTGAGCCCGGTTTAAAGGGCCGGTTTTGGCCGGGTCTGTCGTGTCTCATCGTCCTTTCGTCTGCACCGCTTCCTTTTGGGACGCCGCACGGCACGTTTGGTCCGAGCTTGGCTCGAGGACCAGGGTGGTGTGAGCGAGTGCATCATTGGCGATCATAGGCTGCGCAGGACCAGGGCATCCTGGGGGAACACTCATAGCCTCACCACGAGTTGCCTGGACAAACAGAAAGCTCCTCTGAGCAAGGACGGCACCCATTTTTGGTTCAATTCTCACATCTTGCCAGGCACGTCGCCAGGAAGAACCAAGGGGTAAAACGGGTAATTCCAAAAAAGACATTTGAAGTCATTCGATCTATAGGTTTATCTTCCCCCGCCGCCCTCCCCAAGCACCCCATGATCATTCTCAAATGGGTGCGTGACGAGCTGTGTGGCACGTCACACATCTGATATGGCCATTGAAGCCTGTCCTTAAGATCTACATGGCAAACATCTTTGCCAAGACTGCTTTCTGGACGAACCTCAATACATCTCTCTTCACTATGACACCCCTTGCAGCAGATTAGAGACATCAACCCATTAGTAGCTCCATGTCGTTGTTTGATGTCGCCAACCCAGCAGTATTGTTTGGAGATCGGCATCCCCTGTCATGCTGTTCTTGATTCACTTACAGGTCTTGTATTCGGTCCTGCGTGTTTGCATCACATTCTTGATGATTGATTGCTCATTTCCACTCAGGCAAATCACAAATGAATGGCAGCCCCATGTAGGCGTTCCAAACCTCAAAGGACAACACCCATCATGCGCTCAACAGCCATCCTTCCGCCCATGTTTTGGAGGAGTCCATTAGCATGAAAGCAAACTGCAAGTGACCAATGGACAGGTTAAGTTTCCTTGGGGCTGTGTGCTCTCAGCAGCTTGCCAAGCAGTCAAAGACACTATTCCTACTGCATCCACAGAACGGAGAATAACTGTCTTGGAAGTGTCCACAAAGAACAGGAATGCCAGCATGGTAACCTTCTTCTTGTTGCGCACAGAGCACAACCCTATGTCAAAACAGCCGCATCCCGCTCTAGACCCTCCAAAATCCACCCAAATCTTCCAAGCGCGTTTTGACACGGTTCCCAACCCAGACCTGAAAGAAGGCTTGTCATGAAGGTGAACTGCGAGTGACTCCATCGTGTCTACTAGACAGGCAACTCTCTGTGAGTACATGTGTGTAACAACAAAATAGACACCCTAAAAGTAGATCACATGAACCCTAAAATCCTAAACCCTAAACCCTGACCCCAAACAGGGTCCTGACATCTTCGTTTTTCCGCCAGGTTGGGTTGTCAAGACTTGTTCTCCCCCGGCGACGTGGACCGGCGATCTTTCGTCGGACGTTCGGAACCACTCTTCGGACGGACGAGGTGATGTTCGTCGTCTCATGCACCCGGTCAAGGTTGTCCAACAACCACAAGAAGAAGAAGAAGAAGAACAAGATCACCTGTCCTGTCCTGTCCACCTGAACCCTATGTTCATCTTCTGTTCCCGGTTCTTGAAACACTTCGAATCATCTTCTCTCATCTTCTCCATGCAAGCACCGAAGCGGTTTTCCTCCAGGATGCACTCGTCGAGGCAATGTGAGCACCAAGAGTGCCTGATCTGTGAGAAGTGCAACTCGGTGCCACGAGAAGAAGTGAGGAATGACTAAGATGTTGCGATGCAAAACCTACATGGTTGCAATGCATTTAGCACATGTTTGAAGTGGGCAACAAATGCAAGTGATTCAACGTGTGCATGTTACTAGGGATTTGGCACATGGACATATTAATTTACAATGTTTCATGAATTTACATCAGTAGGAGCACCTCTTCGGGGTTTAAATGAACACCCAGGTGGTTTTCCACTTCTCAAAATCTTATCACCGTCCACCACCTGTGCCCCACCAGCCTTCCACATCCGCAACTTTTTGCTCGAGCTTCACCTTCTCCGGGTTGTGCGCATGACCACACCTTGGACATGACATTTGGAGACTAGAGCTTGCTGAGAATCGGTGAAGGCCAGCAGGGTGGGTTTGGATGTGTATTTTTCTTTATCAAAGACTGCTCCAAGACCATCCATCCGGTGTTTCAACCTGTCTCCCTCAACCCATCTGCTGAAGCCCAGGTGCAAGTAGACCTGCGGCTTCACTCGCTTCAACAAGTCGTTGATCCATTTGGGTTGATCCCCTGGGCAGACCACGATCCAGTCGTGACTCCGACACTACGACGGAGCTGAATGTGAGAAAAGCAACGATGGGGGGCAACGATGGGGAACCTGGTGAGGGTGATGGGTGGTGATGGGTGGTGATGGTGATGGGTGGTGATGGGTGGTGATGGGTGGTGGTGGGTGGTGATGAGGTCTGTGGGCTCCCATCAGTCATCTCGCCATCGGCCATCTGCAAAAGAAATATCCCCTGCTGCATGTGGTGCAAATCAAACTCTCACCCTGCATCTGCTGTTTTGCCTCGGCTTCGACACCGAATCACCCCAAGGGCCCCAACTCGTCTCCGAGATGGAGAAAAAGAAGCCATAAAAGACCGAAGAGAGTGCGGGGTACATCCGATCCCCGCAACAAACATTTGTAAGAGGTAAAAGAGCTGTTCATCCCACCAGTTTGCTTGATGTAAACAAGCCAAGCCAAGCGTTGATGTAAACGTGCCCCCCCCAAAAAAACATATAACATCATAAATATAACCGTACTATTATCATATATATACCTGACGGGTGCAACCCTCTTGCAACACATGAAAGAACTGAAAAAACAAAAAAACATATCGTTCCAATGCGTTCTCCAGGGCTCCCTTTCCATAGAGCGCCCCCGCTGGGGGGCCATGGGTGATCAACACGTTCACGGAGCCAGGCTTCACATGCGCCGTCTCCTGCGGGTCGACGGTCTTCGAACCGACGCGTGGGCGGCACCGCGAAGGCAGGCACCAGTGGACCCTGCGTCCTTGACAGGCGCCTGATGAGTGAAGTTGGGTGTTCGTTGAGTCTTTGTCCAGATGGAGAGTCTGAACAGTAAGTCCAGGTCAGCGGTCTCCTTGAAAAAGCCAGGTCAACGGTGATTGTAGGAGGGTTTTAGCTTTCTTTCCCATTGTAGGAGTGTCACTGTGTCATGTGGATGACTGAGTATGCAAGGAGATGTCACGTCTCAATAAAGAAACCAATTTGGAAAGAGGAAAAGTATGGACAAGTTGATTCCTGTCTCAAACTAAGCTGTTTAGGGGGTGCTACCAAACCCTCATCCTGATGCGGTGATTCTCTGATTATCCCAAGGAAAAAGGCAAAAGAGCAACATCCCTTTATGGCAACATAATGCAAATGGGTCCTCAAAAGTGAACATTGCAATACAATGCATTGAATACACATGCAGGGGTGAGTCTATCATACGCTGAGTCTGTCATGAATCCAGTCGCTCAACGATGGATTCTCCTTCACGAACTTGTCTTCTTCAGTTGCTGTATCCAGCTGGTATGCCTTGGTGCGAAAGTTGAGCACACCCGGGAAGAAGGGATCGACATCATCCAGCAGAACTGTGTGGAACGACATGGAAGCACAAAAGAAATGACACCTACATTTAAGCGCTAGGTTATGCATTTCAGGGTCTAATTCGTTATATGTGTCATTTATAGTTCATAGCCTTGCTCGGAGCAGTCTTCCACATGTTTCCACCCAGCGCATGGCCAATGTATCTTCAGCGAGGCTTCTGAAAAAGGGAGATCTGGAGAAGCTAGCAGCCCCAAGAAGGTTCTACATGCACTGGGTCTTAACAGTCAAGACTCAGTCATAGAGTCTACACCGTTCCCTGGTCCAAATCAGTCAGTTCCTTGCAACATCTGACCGGCTTCCCTGACCGGCCGCCATGTGGTCCACACCGGCTTCCACATCGAAAGAGGAACCAGCAGTCCGGTCTGCTGAAGCAGACAGCCGAACGTCCGGTTCCGCGGCCGAGCATCACGTGTTTTCCTCAAATCCGCTTCTTGCCAGAAGTAATGGCCTCCAACCTACTAGCGATGGCCTTCAACCTGCTTCTTGCTACTATAGTAATGCTGTTCACGCACGGACACACCTCGGTGTTACACTCCATTTGTTTCAGCTGCGTGCAGTATTTGCGTTCGAATGTCAAATTCCGAATTTCCTCTTCACCCCCACATTCGACCAGACTTTCATATGATAAGCGCAGCACCTTTAGAAGGGTCATCCATCGGTATCAGTCTAAGATCACACCAAACATGATTGTCATCGTTGGCTCACCACCAGTTCCATGAAGACAACTACTCAAGAAAAGGGGACCCCAATTTCGTTGCAAGATCGTCTACTGGAGCTTGTAGTCCGGCTGCATCCGGAGCATGCCAAGAATACAGCAGTAAACTTAAACATTTCCTATATAATGATATGCATTATATATTGTCTAATGTGGATTCCTATCTTCATTTGATGCCATAGATCAGTGTCCTCCTCCCACACATCCCTGTATTACATCTATAGCAAAGCCTACATCGCCGCAGCCTCGCCCGGCCACGCCTGCCTCAACCTTTCGACACCAACGACGGCGCCGAGGAGCGATGTTGCCCGAGATCACGGCACGATCCTTCCCCAGTGCTGCAAAGAAGGAGACGCCAGAACCCCAGATCTTCACCTTGCGACCTAGACACGTCATGGGGGACGTCAAGGTAGAAGACGACTAGTACTAGTAACGAGAGAACATCGATCATGTGACAGAAACAGAAAAGAGACCCTCTATAGGGTGCTCGGGGCAACAAGGAACCAACATGAACCAACTCCCCGCGGAAATACCATGGATGAACGCCGAAATTGGGCGTTGGGCATGCGCGAAATTGGGCGTTGGCGTTGGGCGGGCGAGACGGGAGTTCTGAGCTTGTGAGATGTGATGAGGGCACTTCTTGGGGGGAGCATGGTACCGATGTCTGGGGCAAAGGTTGGAACTCATGAGCTTCAAAAAAGAACCCGGCCTCTTATAAGAGCGAGTTCAGTCTAGGGAGGATTCAGGAGGCATGTGTTTGATGGTTTTTTTGGGTAGGGGAAGGGTGACACTCAGGCCAGGGTAAATTTCTAAGGGAAGGCAAACAAACTGGCCTTGGAATCAACTCCAAGAGACTGGGAAAGGGAACCTGAGGCCTCTTGTTCTTACCTGTGCGAGCGTAAGAACTCTGGATTCGCGCGGGATTCGTTTTGGCCACCAAAGACATGGGCCATGTGAGGGGCTGTCTGGATGTCTGGATTGGCTGTCGACTCCAGGTTTTTGGCGGCTTGGTTTCGATTCTAGACCTTCCAAGAACTCCCAACCCCCCCGACTGAGCGGTGGAACCGCGGGACTCTCTGTCAGTCGACTGCTCAACCTCCAGAAATATCGCCCATCCGTCCGACATCAAACAAAGGACCGGGCAATTCACAATACAAACATCTAAAAGCTCGGCTTGTGACTTGGATTGGTTCGAGTCGTCCGTGTCTTAATAGGCCGGTGCTCGTGTGCTCCCACCGCCCCCCTGCCGCCTGAGGGGAACGACAGCGAGAGGGGTGCCGCTTCGGTGTGAAGATACCTCGGCCCCGGCACCGTCCGCACCCCAGGCGCGAGTGAGTGAGTTCGACACCACGCGACGAAGAACGAAGTAGCGTGGGTTTTGTGGTTCAGCCCGAAGCCGTGAATGCATGTTTGTTAGGCCCAATGAAGGCAATATGTCACATCAACTTTTTGCTGGGAACTCTATTTCCTTTGCGAATTTGTAAGAGAGGAAGCCTGGATGCCAGCTCTGAAAAGATCGACGCATTAACCAGTTCCAGGACGATGCGATCCGGCGGTGGATTCTTTTCACGTCGGCAGCGTGAAAACAAGCGTTTTGAAGAACAGGATCAAAGATTCGGATCTTCACACCAACCATTCTTGCCATTCAGACGTGACTTCGTCCAAAAGCGGTCCTTGACCAACTCTCTTGCATGGAGAGAGGATGGAGATTCATTCACATGACTCCTCCCGTCAACCACGCATTGGTGGTCGAAAGAGAACAGCCTTTTTCCTCGTTCTTCCACATCGCTACGTTGAAGGAGCGATATTGAAAAGGGGGAACGGGATTCCCAAATTCAGGGCACGGGCACGAAAACGATGGATCGCATCTATCGATGTTGCATTGGTGCATCAAACCTATGGAACGTGACGGAACCCCTAAAATACCCTCGTAAGCTTGGGCCACCCCAAGTCTTCATCGTCCCGAAAGGTTTACCACCCATGCAGTCTGAGCCACTTCACCCCGAAGTCTTCACAAAGCATTTGCGCTCGTTCGGGGCCTCAGGGTACTATAAAAACATGACCCTATAAAAGCAGGATATACTAGTACTTGTACCCATCTTCTGAGGTACTTTGAGACTGGTATGGCACAACTGTCTTTTCAGTGCCGAATGGGTGTCGTGAAATGCTGTATGCTGTATGATGATGTAGGTGAAGGGAATAGCCGTCGATGAAAGACTCTTTAAAGACTCGGGACTTAAGCGAGAACGACATGTTGGTCGTTGCTTTCGACTCGGACCACGGGCCGCACACCCAAAACGGACCTACCGGGACCGTCTACTGGGACCGTCGCAGTCAGATTTCGGGTAGGTAGCGACAGGTAGCTCGCAGGTCCGGACACCATGGTCGGATGGTCATGGTATATGATCATAACAATTCAAAAACAGATCATAATGATGTCATACCTTATAACTACTAGTGTTAAGTGTTTACAGTTCTGCATATATCAATCTTTTAATTCGAAGTGATCTGGCCAAAGCGAAGAACAACACATAAGTCACACCACACATATTCATATATACCCACTCAACACCCCTTTGGAATCCTGCATGCAGTCGAATGTCTTCCCTCCAAAGTGACTCTTAAACAATTAATTAGCGGATATTACACTCCAGAAATGGGCTTTCCAGTTTGACTGTGGCTGATCCGCATTGATATTGTAACACAAAGAACACCAAGCAACATTATTCCACGTATGCAGCAATATGCAGCAAACTATGCAGCAATATATACCACAACTTGCTAGGCTAGCTGAGAATCCAGCATCTACGAACCATTACGACATTACGAACCCGCTTTTTCAAGAACCTCTTTCGCCCCACCCCCCCCCCATGCTCTTCGCTCTACGAACAGAAGCGTCCGTCTCCGGCTGGAAGCGCATTTATATCATGGGTTCACCCCTCAGGCTGCCAAGGCTCCCAACTTCTCAAGGATGTAATCGTGATTTCCGCCCACCAGCACTCGATGCTCAAACTTCGAAACGCTTCCAAGCCTGGGCGGCTTTTACACGTCTGGTGCCGGTGCGGAGGGCGAGGGCAGGGGCAGAGCCACGGCAGGTGTCAACCCGAAAAGACCAGTTCTTCGACACACACGAAGACGGCGGTTGCACCGGCAGGTCGTGGCAGATGGCAACTGAATGGACGTGAAGATGGCAGGACGTGAAGGTCCGAACCTCCAAAGTCCTTAGTCCTCTGGCCCAGTCTTCTTCCGAAAGCAAAGCGACAACTCGACCATTCGGGTGTTGGAAGTAGCAAGCACAAGGCGTTTCGGAAAGCCGTCACAAACCATCTCAAGCTGAGAGAAAATGTTGAGCCACTTGAGTGACGTCGTGCAATTCGCATCCAAATCCAAACATCAATTCAAAGGGGAAGGGGGGTCCGCAAGGGAGTCTTTTCATGCTTTCTGATGATAGTTGTCTTCAATGCAACTTGTGGCCTGGAACGGATCCCGTTTTACTACGAGGTGGATGCAAAGTTCGATCTGAAAACAAACACGATCTGGGAAACATCGGGTTCTTGCCCGGCCTGGAACAGTGACCTGTACGAAATCTTGGACGGCATCCAGGCCAACATAACGACTCAAGTGCCAAAGAACCTTAAATCTTCAATATCCCATTGCCAAAACAGCATAATTTGAACTCAACAAATCAGCGGACCCGGAATTCCCGGATGTTTACATCCATTACTATACTCGTTTTCTCACATGCTACCACATTGCGGTCCGGATGTTGCCGGACGTGCGATTCGGTCCCCTCCGGCCCGAGGCGCCAGCGCATCGACGCGGCGAAGCCCAGGTGTGAGGATCGAAACCAGCGGAGAAAGGCGCTGAAGTCGCTCTCGAAGTCTTTCAATTTCTCCAACTCGGTGAAGTGAAGTGAATGAAGAACGTCGTCTTCGAACGTCGGTCGAATCGTCGAGTGAAGAAGAACGTCAGCGGCGTGCGGAGGCGGAGAGGGCGTGTGTTTGGCGACCCCGGCGATGTTGGCGGAGCATGAGGTTTGTTCTTTTGCATGCAGGAGACGCCTTTTGGGGATGCCGGTGGGTGGGGAGGACACTTGGAGGACGAAACATGTGCTGAGCATGAATCAGGGTGTTCTTTTTTAGGACTTTTGAGACGTGCCAAACGTTTCAAAATGCTCTGAGTTCAGCCGTGGGCATTGAGACGAACATGAAAAGCCGCCGAAGCCAAAGGAAGGGCCAGCAAACCATAATGTGTTTCGAAAACACAAAAACAAACATGTGCAAAAACATGCATTCATGTTCCATAATTTCAGCATCACCTGGAAACCCAGTCCCTGAAACCAATTATGCTTCTTCCAATACTGATCGGCAGGTCCCCCAGCCGCCGAAACAAACAGACACGTCCCAAGCTAGCTTTCCGCTCCGCTCTCCGCTCTCCGCTCCGCTCTCCGCTAGACACGCAGTCGCTGGCATCTTTGGACCGCGACTCCTGGAGAGCCACCGCGACTCGTCTTCGGGGAATCGGAGACGAGGACGTAACGGACCTTCAAACAAGCGCGCCCATGCCGCGCCCGGCATGTGTTGGGAGAAAAGCTCCATGTTTTTCGAATGGTTGAATTGACCACTGGCCGAAAGGGTCCCGGTGCGTCCAGACTCAGTCGCCAGCCGATCCAACGAGATCTGATCGGGTCTTTCTGGAGTCTCCTTAAAACAACATGACATCCACGAAATCCCCCGGTTTGAAACGAACTCACATGGGCCCACGTCACACCACTCCAGTCCGAGAATCACCTGGGGTCCTTCGGTTTGAGGACCCTACGGCTCAATGGTCGAACAATCGCGTCACCGCTTTTGGTTGATTTCACCATCGATTCGTGCAGTCGGGCTCGTCGCAAAGAAGCAGAGTCGTGCAGTAGATCCCCAAATAGTTAGGACAAACCACGATCCCTTTCGGAACACCGTGGCCACGGTCATACTCTTTGGGGACCACCAAAAACACACTTTTGAGGAGTACCTATTGAGTTGGACAATGCCCACTGTTACAGTAAATATACACGCTTCCGACTTTTTTAAATGCCCAGTATGAGCACGATTCTTCGACATGACCGATTGACATGCCCAATGTCAAGCAACGAAAAAAAGGGCACCAACGAGTCGTCGCCTTCTCTCTTGCAAGCGACAGTCTACGAGAAATGAACGACGAGTCTCTTAATGATGCGACGACGTTCTTCCCCAATCAGCCCCACCCAGTTCGGATTGCTATTGGATGGTAAACACGTGGTATAAAGGATATCTACTTAGGGTGTCTATAAACCATCGGAACTGGGTGGTGCTGGTATGGGGATACCATAGTACTGCGATGGGGACCATCGCCGTGGGTGATCATGGGACTTCTCCTGTTTGTTTGAAAGGACGAGTCCTGAGGCGCGTGTTTTGCACAAAAAATCAGCTGAAAATGATGAAACACTGCAATCCCAGCCTTCACTGCAGAAAATGGAGCCTGTGGATGAAATGAATCCACGGTGTTCTTTTATCAGAGTCTCCCTTTCAATCAAATCCATGTCATTTTGAACATGTAGCAAGTTCCCCAGCTGTGTTCCGTTTTTTTCCGTCAATCTCTACGCCCTCTTCATGATTCTGAACACCGAACACCTGCCCAGGTTGACATGTTCAAGAGCTCCTCGTAGCTCAAGTCGCCCGCATGAACTAAGAGATCGCCCTCAGGCAGTGGAAGATTCTCATGGAGGAGATGCGTATCACCTCAGATTCATTTTTTTGGGGAGGCGGGTGAACAACGGTCTGGCGAACGCTGCTTTCCGGTCTGGCGAACAGGAGACAACGGTCAACAAGTCAATGGTTGATGGTGTCAAAATCCCCAAAGACAACAAGTCCTCCTAGGGCCAGGCCTTTGAAGTCCGGTCTTCTTTCGTTGGGATTGATCAATTGAAGTAGTCTAGACGTATTTCAGACCAACAACCCAAACTTGGATTTGTCTTGCCTAGGGCCTAGGGAAGAAGCGAGAAAAAGATACAACATACTGTATTCCCCAAGTTAGGGGATTCACCCATCATGGAAAACACACACGCACACATCACCCAAAGTGATCAAACTAGGCCAAGGAGGATCAAACCGGGGGGCACAGCTCCAGAATGACCGAAGGGTGGCCTTGAGATCTGTAAGACTCCTTGAGATCTGAGGCCTTTCGTTCATGTCACATGGAGCTGTGCGACCATCCAACAACACCTGGCCATGTGTGGCAACTTCGCCAAGGAATACGACGGAAAACTGTATGTCCTTAAAGACCTCATAATATAATTTCACTGGGTTCGGTCATAAACAAAAACAGTCTTATAGTCTTTCATGAGGTTAAGGAGCAGCGTTTACTTGGTCCTTGGACCTGGTAGGGTGTGGCACGTCGGTCTGCAAGACCACGCCCGTCATGCCCAGTGGCTGATGGCCACCATCCGAACCAAGCCCTCCTTCTTGGGCGCCCTGTGCTGAGGTCTGCTCTGGGTTGGAGGGTGATCGAAAGATGGAGCAACCGCGGAGCATCTCACAAACCAATGTATACTACTGCACAAGTCACCAATTCAGACCTGTTAGAGCCCAACAACCCTCGAACGAGGAGACCTGGCAGTGAGGATGCTGGTATATTGCGATGGTTGGATAGATGTTGAGAGATTCTGCTGCACACTCTCTACATCTCTCATCATGTGGGCTTTGGAGGTGCAAACCAAGAGAATTCTTGGGCCAAGTACCCCGAAGTGTGCGGGGTTTCCGTGGGAGATGAACTTTCATTCTGTTCATGAACTGGCATGTGAACTACATGCGCCAGCGCATGCTAGCAAGAAGAAAAGGCTTCAAGGAAAAAACAACTCGAGAAAAGGCTTCACCCAAGCCTCTCTGGTTCCAATGGTGGATGCTTTTTGAAGCACAGCAAGGTTTTACGTTGAACCCCTCGGCTTTTCAGCCTTGGCGGACAAGCTTTCTTATCCAGCTAGATCCAGCTAGAGATAAGGAGACTTTGCACCAGTGAACACCCTGAGAATTTCCAGATTTCCTTAGATTTCTGATTGGTTCTTCCACCTGAAGAAAAGTCGCCCGACTTGTGGTCAAAGAACTTTAGATCAAGAGGATTGGTCAAAACCCCGAAAAGGACATGGGATGCACTGGAAGCCACAAAGTGTCCAACATCAATCTTCGCCGAGTGGCAGATCTCGCACTTGCTCCACTTTGGGAGTCTCTAAGGAGCCCACATAAAGATATCCCTCCTGGCAGGGCAAGTGGGATGCCCTGGGGCTCCAACTACCTCCGTTTCGAAGATGCTTGGGGTGGGTGGCACAGGGGTCGAATACCACCGAACCTGAGGATCTGGGACGTTCGTTCTCCCTAGGGATGATCAGTGAACTGATGGTCCACACCCATAACATCCCCTTGTTACTACTAGCGTCCTAGTAAGGCACTTGTTACTACTTGCTAAATGACATAACCTCGCGACCGCCGGACACGGACCGCTCGAAGACGACTGCACGTCACGACGACCCCCGGCACGGTCCTGCACGTTCTTCTTGGACCACCTGCGTTTCAGCCGGTTAACCGGACTTCAGGGACTTCCTGCAAGCTACACAGGTGGGGAAAAGATGGGAAAAGTATCCCCCAAGCCAGCAAACATGCTGAACCAGAAATCACACTTGCCTTGATTCTGTCACTCTGCTCGCGTGTCCTTTCTGCTTGTGCTTCTGTATGCAATAGACTTTCTCATGATTTATCAAGAACCCCCATACTATCATACCCTGACGCTCCATGTATGGCATATATGCCTACATTGACCCCTCAAACCGCCCCAATGTAGGCATATATACTATATATACATGGATATACATGGAGTGTCTGGATATGTATATCATGTTAGCATTGACCTGCATTCACACTGAAGACACCCCAACGTAAAACAAACATTACATTCCAGCCATCTAGAAGACTCACATCAAGTGCATCGTTTGAGTATATTAAATTGCCCACAACCTTCCAACGACTCCTTTTACCCCACCTGGGAATCATAATCCACCACTAGTTACCAGTTCGGGGAAAAAATTGAGTCATGACTGGACTCTCAATATTAGATCCCATGATCATCCATCATCCATCAATTCATGAACACTGCCAGCGCCCACCAGTCTTTCCCACTTCCCACGTGTGTTTGTCAACTGCGCCTGTCGTGGTAGTACTCCACCCCTGCACGCCGGAGGCGTGAAGAGCTATCAAAGGCCACACCAATGATGCTGAAGTCGTTCTTGGCGTCGGCCGGGCAGGGCTTGCCAGTGATGACCTCAAACCAGGTCTCAGGGGCACCTCGGCCAAGTCCGGTCGGTGGACGGCGAGCCGCAGACCTGTGCAGGAACCGTGAAACAACATCGTTCCTGCACATCGCTCTAGCAAAACCAGGTTGACATAAGAATGCTTGTGCCTGCAGCTAGTCATCTGAGGGTCCTCCGGAACTGCAAGAAGTGGTGGTTTTGCAACTACTCACGGCCTTTTGGGATGGGGATGATTCAACATGATTCAACCGTGCTGGTAGCATCTATTTGTCTATCATATCATTCTAAGTCTATATCTGTCTATTTAAGCGAAAGCCCTCCAAGATGTAGAGGCAAACCTCCTGCTACATGCACAGAAATGCGAAGCGAACGCGAAGGCGAACACGGTTGAACCAGCACATCTTTCCAGACCAGGATCGTTTGAAGTGAACCAAAGGAAATGACACATTGTGCATCATTCCGGACATTTCTGGTCGCAAAACCACACACTCGTGAGCCTGTTGATGGGCAAAAGACTTATGGGGATGAATCTTCGCAGCTGTGTTTGCGCAAACGACCCACAACAAAGCCTTCTGGCTGCCCGACCTCTACAGTCAGCTCGTGCAGCGGTGCGACAGTGTCACGTGAAGCTGCTCAACATCATTGGACCAAATACCGGTGTTCATCAGGTGCCCTTGGTAGATGTCGTGGGATTTTAACATGTTCTTGTCCAATGAACAACCATATTTACCATATTTGTTATACAGTTATGCATCAATTCTAGTGCCTCGTCCTAAATCAGCCGCCCAGGCACACAAAACCATCCTTGCTAAGAGTTCGTGCATGTGATCCTTGCCACCAAGATCTGCTCAACGAACTGCTTCGGTTGTGAGGTCTCATCGTTGAAAAACAGGCAATTCCCTGTCTCTTGGATTATATCTTGGTCAAACTGGATCAACAATGTACTGGGTCACGAGGTCAACTTATGTAATATCATGCCGGCGCGATCTCCTCTGTGTACGCTGAAGTCTTCTCCTGGCCGAGTTCTTCAAAGATGATTTATCAAGAAACCATGGGGTTGTGGTGTACTGTCCAGCGTCGCCCAATAAGATTGAATCTCACTGATTTAGTGGATTATTTTTTTGCTGAACACAACAAATCGAAAGGAAGCAACTCCTTCAAATGCCTTGATCACAAGCTGATTCTGTAATATTATTCTTGCCAGATCTTGTCAGGAATCCAGGAAGCACCTGCAAACTACGCTGGCTAGGCCAAAGACCCCACATCAAAGCCCAGCAAAGGAAGCTTACGATGTTTGGATCTTCCTTGTCTCGGTCGTCTGCTGAGCTGCGCAAACCCCCAAATGTACTGCGGGCGAGTGCAGGGCGTGAATCTCTGGCCCTGCCACGCTCCACCAAACACCTGAAAAACTGACGTTTGCGCGTAAGTTTTTGGCACTTTCAGTCCTAAAGAAGATCCTCTCCCCAAACACCCAAAGTAACTGAGTCAACATATGACATGTGATTAAATCCATTCAATATCCATTCTTCCATTTAGGTGCAGGTGCCATACACATGTGCTTCGGATCGTTTTCCTTCCTTTCGACCCCCACCGAAAAGAAAACCGGTGCCGCACACCTCCCACACCTCCCTACACCCGCACGAAAATCGCCTCGACGCCGCCGAAGCAGGGGGGTGCAGGCTCCGCGAGGCGCAAGAAGAAGTCCAGCTTGGCGCGGTCGCAGCTCTTCGTGGCCTGCGTAGTCGGACCCCCAAAAATATGTATCATACTGAATCTGTATCATACTGTATCCGATGGCCAGTAGCCAGTAGAGGCTGTACTTCTCAACTTGGCAACTTCTTAGACAAATGTTCTTGGCACCACCGTGTATCACAACCAACCCCATCTTGCCCCGGTACTACAAAAGCTTTTAGGTTTTCAGGTTCCATCTCTGTTCCGGCTATATAAATGGGTGCCAAGATGTGTGAAGTGTTCAAAAAAATATGGATCCTGGATCTGTCTCAATTGAGGACTCCCTACTGACCACAGGTGGACTTTCTGTGTTGTCCCTCATTATTCACCAGCTTGTTGATCGGCACTTTAAAGAGTATCATTCATCGAGTTCTGTCAAGCATTTGCTGAGACCAGCCAACACCTTTTTCTAATCTAACTTTCAATGTCCACGCAAGTTAAACCAATCTAAACCAATGATTTCACCCTTTTCCCGAAGATCAAATCCATCTCTTCACGCCCGCTCGCAGCTCACATCACACCATCGCCGCTACATCACACGCCGCACCCGGACCGGACCGCTCCACTGAGCGCCTCGGACCACTGAGCCATCAGCGCCTGAAGGACTTCTTCTCCAAACCTCTCCTCGGGGAACCCCCCCGCGTTGGAAGGGCGAAAGAAGGCGGGTGCCTGCGATCGTGTTGCATTGAAACACAAACAAACAAATACAAACAAGCAAATCAACGTTAAGGTAATTAAACAACAAAAACACATTCAAAACCAAAAGTCTGGCTGAATTGTAATACTTCGTAGGTTGTCAGGTCGGAGTCGGAGGTTCAATTCCTTAAGTTGAAATAAGGCCACCTATAGGTCGTCTGAACTAGGCCTGATGTCGGTGGAAGATGTGACCTGGGGAGGACTGGGAGGACGTTTCTCAAGTCGCCAGACTTGCACCCGCGTCTTGAGAACATCTGGCGTCTTTTCTGGCTACGTTTGGTGGGCACACTGCTCAAGGCTGCAACCATTGAGAAGCTGCTCAGACTGGACAGCAATTCAACCACATCAAGGGGGAATTTGCAGTGACCTCGAGTGACGTCGTTATAATTCAGGCAGGCAGATCGAAAAAAAACGATAAACAAAAGACTGTTCCCCCCTGACACGCTCAACAAAGCAGGGAGAACACCGTGACGACGGTGTGGCCAACAGCCCAGACCGGGTCGGGACATTCAAAGGCCGAATCTGCCGTGACATCCTTTGACGAGTGAAGTAGACAAGTATGACAAGTCGCAACAAGTATAGGATGTGTTTTTGTAAACAAAAAACACACTAGGCAATTTGGATCTATTTGGTATTGTTTGGCATTGTTTCAAGAGCCCAATCCACCATTTCGGCTGGGTCACTTACTTGCATCGGAGAACGATAAATCTTTGGCCCGCAAATTTGGCGATGGATGAAACATGCCCAAATGTCCAAAGGATCTTGACAGCTGCGAACATTTACAAGACACCTCTACCCTCGCTGAATTAATCATGGTGAGGATGGCATGGTATTCAGACATCAAATTGACCATGAAATCCTCTACAAACTCAGTGGTGAACTCCACTGAACATCCGTCAACGTTTGGTGCCACAGTGAGCAGGTCAGACCGGTCTCTCGCCTGCTTGGAACAACGGAATTGTCTAGGTCGTCGTTTTTGGCTCTTCGATCCATGTTACAAAATGGGGTAGGGGGGTCCTGCTTGAGACTTGATATAAAACGGCACGGTGTGACCTCCAATGTGTTGACAAAATGAGCCAGCCAGCTCTATAAAATGAATGTGCTGACCCTCAAACTTCTTACAAATTGTCGCGGTTTGATACCATCAAGTTAACTGGCATGAAGAGGGTGTGATGTCTATGAAATGCACCGTCCTAACACCACGTTCAACATCAGATAACACCAGCAAGCCTCCATCATGAATCCTTGCGTTTCCAAGCTGCACGCAACTGCATGCAACAATGCTTTTTTCCACAATTGTTTGCTATCAAGTCACTTGTATTTACCAACACTAATGATTATCTATAACACCAACATGCTCTATAAAATCCCACGCAAGGAAGGTTTCTCTATAAAATCAACGTATATAGTGGCCCTCTTTTCTATAAAACACTTTATAACACATGTTGACCCTCTCATGTTATAGAGAGGTATTGGAACCTAGATGCTGTTCGGGAAGTTCGTCCCGTTCTCTGCCGGCACCCGACGATCAACAGGTCACCACCTGCCACTTTTGAATGCAAGTCAGCCCCCATTTCGCAGACTAAGTAACCATTAAGCGACACTAGGCGGGCTCCTGGCATCGCTACGAACGGAGCGATCGGACGCTGCGTTCGTCACAAGAAGCCGTCAGACCGTCCCCGGCGGTCTGATGTGACCGCCATGACCGGTTCGTCCGGGGAACTCGTCGGTCCAGGCCCGTGACGGCCAATGAAAAAAAACATCGCTTCCTACTAAGGGAAGCCTCCAAAAATCTATCACGAAACTGGATGAACATGTTGTGAAACGTGAAGATCGACAGTGATCTATCCAACTTCTCCATTCTCCAACAATCCCCGTTCAACAAACCAATGGTGGCATAGAATTCTGGGCAGAACCCTGGCACTCTTCCCCAATTAGCTTCCAAGCATCTCTCAGCAACTCCACATGTCTCTTGGCCATGGCTGACCGCGTGAGCCGCGCGCGGGGCGTGTTCGCACTCGCGTAACGCGCGTGCGACGCGCTGCACGGCTTGAAGTGGATGCAGTGGCAACAAAGGATTCTCTCAAAGTGTTTGAACTGCATCAGGAGATATCATAGACCTCATGCATATTGACCTCGAGGTCATCCGTATATACTCCGTATAGTTTAAATCTCTAGACCACATAGACCTCTCCTCAGCACCCAGCTGCGCCAAAATAGCTAAACCATGCTAAACCACTCGAATCGACCTCTCCTACTGAGGTAAAAACGAGATGTCATACTCCCCAAATCCTCAGGCAGTGCCACCCGAAATCACCGGTCCAGGTCCCTGTTTCTTCATGGTATCTCATGGTCCATGAAATGGCATATAATTTTATCTTATGAGTTGGACCATGGCATGGACAATTGCCCTATATAATCCCGTAAACCATGAACCTATGTCATATGTTCTAATTGTATCCACATCAGAATAAACTCCCTTAATAAACAACGTAACATATTTTAGTATGTGTTTTTAATGTTTCTTTGTGCATAGATGTTGCTTATCTTTTTCTGTCCGGTCCATGGTCGATGTCCACCCAGCGAACCCTTGTTGTCCACCGAGATCTTCGCTCCGAGTCCAGCACTCAACCACCGGATGCCCGCGTGCGCCCGCGGCTGGTCGTACCTGGTCACCGTCCGCGCTCGGTGCACACGGTGTGAAACGAAGCGTTTCGCGGTGCACGCGGTGTGACACGAAAAGCGAGTGCCAGGAGGAACCAGGAGATGAACTTCTTCAAGTTCAGTCACAGTCTCTTTCATCCTAAAAGTCTCACCATCAGTTGAGAAGGTTTTTGTGACCCTCAAAGCCTTCATCGGATCTCGATCGAAGCCGCGCACTGGCCACATCGGAAGTCTGCGCGGATGCTGCTGCAACAGTCCACACCTGCAGCACCGCTCGCTACAACAAACAACAGCGGGTGTCTGCCGTTTTCCTGCGAAGTGTCGTCAAATTAGAGGACCCAGGAAGAAGTCTGATAACAATGCAATGAGCACGTGTCTTTGTCTTTATTCCATATGTCTTCCAAAAAACTACTACCAAATAGTCACCAAATTGCAGACCCTTTGCTCGGTAGAGAGACAAAAACATCGTCCCGAACAGCCCTTTAAAAAGTTGCCCTATAGTCTTTACCTTGTGGTACCCACTTTTGAACCATCCATACTCTAGAAGGCCAGCTCGACGATATTTGGCACCAAAGTAAAGACAACTCCTTTTCAGATCACCCAAAGGCCATTTTAGAGGATGGTCGACTGGATTGCCAGGGCATAGATAAAAGTCCGTGTCTGTTGGTGCGCGCATGCAGCAAGTAGGAGACTCCACAATTTTCAACAGGCAAAGGACATTGAACATGTATTATATATATAAGGTTTGTGTGTGTGCAACATGCGTGTACTGTTTCCGTGTGTTCTATCTGGTTCTATTGTTCCTGCAACAATGTGCCTGAAGCTTTTCCTTGCTTCATTATATTGAAAGCAAGTAGGCGCAACACATGCTCCAATCACAAGTATGCGGTTGGGATGTACAACGCAGTTCGGATTCGCAACATTGCTTGTCTCAAGCAGTTCACCCTGGTCATTCCACCATTAAAAAACAACAAAAACACTGACTGCGCCCAAAGAATGCAGAGCACCCGAAAAAGCACCATGATAACCATCACGATATCTTATGCAATGCAGAAAAATGCCACCATCACTACCGTTTTCAACAGTCTGGAAAAAAATGGGGTCCTTCCAAAAAGGATCACAAGGAAACAATAGGGAACCTGTCACCCCACCAAGAAAGTTCGTCCAAGCAAGATCTTGGATGAAAAACACATCCATGTCCACCAGGAGTCACAAAGGGGTGGTGTTTAGTCCCTAAGTGAGTGGATAATGGGCACCCCTAACCTCCATTAAGCACCCCTTTGTGACTGCTGGCAGTTTGCACTTGCCAAGGTTATTTAAACACCTTTTTTCCATTCAAGTTCCGCCAAAAAGAGCAGTCGTGCCGTCCATTGGTCGTCGCCACTGCGATCTGGAGATGTCGACGACCGGGGCGTGGGTGCTTTTGCCGAGATCCCGCGCCCACCGCCCAAAAGTCATAGACGGGCAAAGAGCCCTGGGGGAGTTGAAGAAGAAATCGAAGATCGAGTCACACCGGACTTGAACAAGACCAGGACATGCAACAAAAAGTTTGGCCTGCATCAAGTCCTAACTAAAGAGTCTGGCCTGCATCAAGTCCTACTCCTATGTGGTTGGTCCAACCTTCACAACCTTCCAACTCACCACTTTGATTCCTAGAAGTGGAGATGAAACTTTCTCCCCCGCCAAAAATAGACATCACTTTGACTGAAGAGGGCAGCCCAGCCCAGGATCTTCAAGTTGCTTGGAGATCCAGGTCTTTTACCTAGTATTGACCATTTTGGTGTACTGTATGTCCCTCCAAATGGGCCCTCTGTCCCGCAACCGCGCAACAGAACACATGGATTTTTCCGAGGGTCGACCAAAACACGGCCAGTCTGCATGAGCTATAGGCAAGCAAAGCCATGTCCAACACAGTATGTGGCCTGAGAAAACAATTAATCCACATACAGTATCGATATATAAAACAAACATTGAAACATATTGAAGTTGAAGTATATATCTATATAACGTGCACTATATATTCCCTTCATGTCCCTTCATGTTGTTCTGACCAGGTCACAAAATGACAACCTGAAAAAAACTGGGGGTTCAGTCAGCTCTCCTTTTGAGTCTGTTGTTGCACTTGTCACTTGTCTTGTTGATACCATTCTGTTTCAGAACGAACTCAGTCAACCCCAAATCCGATCTTCTCCTCATCCAGCTGCCTCAGCTTCACCTGCTTCTCCCCTCCTGCGCACTCCCGCGCACTCCCGCGCGCTCCCGCGCCTGGCCGTTGGTAATGGGTGCCACGCAGTAGGTCTTCCCACCATCCCGGAAGCCTCGACGGAGCGAGAAAGCACAGGAGAAGCTCGTTGGTTGGGGTAGACATTGAAAGCCATGTTATAGAGAGAGCTTATTATATAGAGTATATGTTTGGAATTCATTGGACCATATCTGTGATCTCACTCTATTGGACAGTTATAAAGCTCAACCGCATCCTTGTCCTCAACAAACGACGTAGCACACCACTGCTTTAGCTGCTAGCAATGCCAGTGAACTAGCGTATCAAATCATCGGAACAAAGCCCACACGGAAAAAGCCGTTTCACCGTCTTCAAGTTGCACCCGCCCACGTTTCACCCGCCGTGACTCGACCCGGGACTCACCCGTCGTTGCCATGTCGTCCGGGACTTCAGTCGATCCTTGGGACTTGCGAAGGTCCAGGCCGCTCGAAGTCTCGAAGGCCACCAGTCCGGCCTTGGTGACCGGAGCGGTGGAGCGGGCGGTGCATGACCGGTGGAGCGGCGGTGGGACTCCAGGTGAAGGGAGACGATTGCTTGGGTGTGATGAGGTGGTCGGAAACGGTAGGGTTTGAGTACCTTCCCACTCAAGGATTACCCCAAGTATATAGGTGAAATATCGGAGAGTGGGTTTGAGTATACTTGAGTGTAAGATGTAAAGGACAAGTAGGGCAGTGAAGGTGTGAACATGTGTGAAACTCTATTGAATCCTAGCATCCAAAAACCCTGGGGTTTCCAGGCGCTGCTCGATGGCCCAGGACTTCAGGTAGATGACACATATATCCACATCATGGCTGGCGCTCTGCCCTGCCCTACCTGCTTCCGGACTACGGCGACTACGGATCGTTACCATGTGACGCTGGACCAGAACAGATCCCAGCGTAAAGCGATGACCCGTCAGGTCCGGGCGTCCGAACATCCATCATCTGCTGTCCCTTGGCCTGGCCCACATCCACCTGCGCGATGTGGCGAGCGGGGAGCCTGGAGGATGGGAATGTTGCGAATAGACGAGCACGAGCACAGGTAACTATAGTACGCTTCTTCTTGTTACTATATATAGTAGAAATTAATGGTCTCCAACCTCATAACGATGGCCTCCACCTGGTAGCTTCTTGCTGCTAGTCAACCTAGACCGAAGATGACCAAAGTACGATGGACGTCACAAGGACCACGAGCGTCTTAGGACCACCACCACTACCGGTCGGTCGGAAACGAAGAAGCTTCGTCCGATCTCCCGACCACTCGGCTCGACGGACGTGGTGTGTCTGACTCGCTCTCGGCTCCCAGCGTCTTTGTACATCTTCAAATGCTGCGTCAAGGTGTAGGCGTCTTTCATGGTGTACCTCCCAACTGAGGCACAGCAGGTGAAAGCCCTTGCCTCTCTTCATGCAAGCCCTTGGCTCTGTTCATGCTTGGGGAGCAACAGCCAAAGCCATCGTCGGATGAGATAGATCTATGTGTTCGGAAACTACTTCATGGATGTCCGACATGAAGCGGCACACAGTGCCAGTTCTGAGGTGTTCCTCCGCGTTCCTCTCAGTCGCTCAAGCAATCTTGGCATTCACTGATAAGTTCTTTTGCAGGCTGGAGCCTAAAAGCAAGATCGCAAGATATCATTCAACAAAAAGACTGCAGTGGACAAACATAGTAGCGAAACCATGTTGTTGTTGCAGACTTCGTGTTGTGCATCGATTTGTCACACCTCCATGACCATGCATCTATAGTTTTTTCCTCATCTGCATCAGCAATGTCTAAGTTAACTAAGTGTATTTTGCATTTATATACACATTGCACATCGAACAACAAAACATAACAAAACCACACAACACCATGTATAGATATACAAATATAGGCAATATCCCGTATCGACCCTGCCCAAGGGTCGCCTTCTTCGAGTTTGAAACCGGACTTCACCCGGTCAGGGGCACTGATAGGTCAAGGAACCCAGGAGGCTCGCAACCAAGACCTTGGGAATCGGACTCGGATCTCAACGAGCTTGTGACGTGGATGTGGGAGAAGATCAACACCAACAAGACGGCAATCGTCCATGTTCTTCTTTTTCCGAATTGGTCGGATGCTCGAAACCAGGGAGTTATTCTGATGTTACTTGGT